GCATTCATGCCATTATATCATCACACAACTAAAAGTCCATTATTTTTTACATTCATCAAATGGTATTGTCAAATCTTGAGTGAAATATCTGAAAAATTGGTTTACTACAAAAAATGTCACGTCAAGTAATTTTAGACTTTAACAAAAACATGGCTTTGCCTTCAGAAACACTGATTTGGGGTTTGCATGGGCTGAAACATCTTGTCACCAGCATTAGGAAGGGGACCTACTCTCCAATAGCATTTTTGGCACTGCCTCAAGAGTGTAATTGAGCATGTGCGTTTGTGTGTTGGAGTGCACATGCGCGCGTCTGTTTTAGGGGTTGGCGGGGGCGGGGGTTGGGGGGGTCATCCTGTTGCCTGGTAACAAGCCTCAGATTGACAAAGGAAGAGCAATTTAGGTCTACTTTCCCCAGAAATCAATACAACGGGCCTGATGTGATGATGTGAGATTAGCCTAGGGAGAAAAGCCAATGTATTTGGCAGGGGTTACTTCATAACCAAGAGAAGAGGGTGTGGAGGAGATTGCATCTGAAACATTGAATATAAAAGATATACGGTCTGGGTACCTAGCTTCTGAAATCTCGCTAAAATGAGACTTTTCCAGCCCGTCTCTCCCTCAAGTAATGAGAACTTTAGTAAAGTGAACACTCATGGGGAGGAAAGAATCTGATTGTAGCTTTCCTGTGTAATACCATGTGTCAGACCCTCGCTAATATTGCCCTGGGCAAGGAGAACAGTACGTGGCTGTAATATTGGAAAGATTGGAGAAAGGAAGAAATGGATGTTGAATAAAACTTCAGGAAAGCTACACTGTGCATGCATAACACATTTTCCCCGTCCTCCTGCTGCTGAAACTAGGACATTCTAGCTCACTCAATTGGAAAAAGTTATTGGTAAGGACAAAAAAATGTGTCACTGTACAAATTGGATGTGATTACAAGTAATAATGACAATGAAAAAAACAATAGTTGAACGCAAAATATGTTTTTCCAACTAGAATCATTTTAATCATAGTGGCAGTCTTTGACGGCAACAAGTTACAACTTCTTCTGATCACTGTGAGGTTTGAGCAGCACTCAGTCAGATCAAAACAGACTAACACGAGTTCAGGAAAGTGGGTTTAGTCGGCAGGCAGGTTCAAAACCAGGAGACCAGTCAGACAAGCAAACAATTCAAAAGGCGCAGGCAGAGAGGCCAAAGTCATAAAAACAGGCGCGCTGGGGAGGTCAGCTACAGGATACAAGAAAACGCTGCGGCGCTTGGCAGCAAATCACAAAACAATCTGGCAGGGGATGAGTGCAAGTGAGGACCTAAATAGAGAAGAACTAATGAGGGAATGGGCTGCAGCCGAGGCAGGCGTAAGTATCAGGTGAGGGATGTGAGTGCTGATTGGGGTGAGAGGCTGGATCTGGAATGACAAGGGAGTTAGTGAACAGGTGAGCAAGGTGAAAACAATAATGAGGATGTGACAAGAACAAGCTGTAACCGATTGACATATCAACATGTGACAAGTTAATGGTATTTATTTGTGCAGTTTACTGTAAAAAAAAAAAAAAAGAAGAAATTGCTAGTTTATTGTAGGAAAACGTTACTAAATTTAGGCCACCCCTTTTTTTGGTTTGCTTTAGGGAAAGATCATTGTTCTGGTTAAAATAACTAGTAATGTTGTTTAGTGAAACAACTAGTGAAGTTTGCTTCGTTTTACAGTGGAGGCTATGATTTTTCTTTTTTACAAAAGAACCTTAAATTGCCCGTTAATATACGTGCAAAGTTTTTTGTCTATCTAGATGTCTCAGCCCTGTGAGAAACTGGCGGCTACTATTCTATTCTCTTTGCTGTAACACTGTGTAGCCCAACCTAAAGGATGAAACTTAAATCTGCAAAGCCTGTGGTCCAAACTGTGAAGAGATGCACCAACGAGGCAAAACTGCAATCACAGTGTTGCTGTGACTGCACTGATTGGAGGGTTTTTGAGTCCTCCTCCAAACCTGGATGTGCTCACATGTGTTTGCAGACTAAAACCGCAAAACTCAGGCAGCTTTGTCACGCTAAGGAAGAGGCCTACAGAAGTGGGGATGGGGTCCTGTACAACCAGGCCAGAAACACATTGACGAGGGGGATCAAGGAGCTATACGGAAAGGTTGACAAAGAGGTTTTCAGCCAACAACTCCTCATCAGTGTGGAGAGGCCCGTAAGTAATCACAAACTACAGTGGACTTCAACTGATCGGTCAGTGTGTTTACATGATGGTATAATTTGAATCTTTGCTTAGTCGGACTATGCTAGTCCTACTCTTTCGGGGCAAGTGCTATTATCCCAATATACATGGCAGTGAATAAATCAAATCATTGGCCGAAAGCATGTCATATCCGATACGATAGGTGGCGCTGTTTTCATTACAACTAGTTGTGATACAGCCATTTCCGCTTGACCTCTTTACCACTACCAACAACAACAACATCAACATTACGAGAAAGATGGCGAACGGAGAGCAAGGTGAAGCTACATCCCTCTACTATTTTTGCATGACGTTAATAGGAGTAAAGCGAATGCAAATGGCGCTATTGGCTGATTTGATAACGGAGAGAAGACGCCGTCGGGATCTCAAGAATGCGCAAAGAAGCAAAGTCCAGTTCCTTATCCGATTCACCGTTACATGCCGCAATAGTCAAACTATCAACTGGATCGGATCGAGTTATCCAGGGGTGTTAGTCGTATCGTAGTCGGACCGCACAGTCGGACAAAGGTGTGCTGGACCCCCAATACAAACAGGTTGTTTAAGGATGAAGTCAACGTGCGACTGCACCACAAGCTGCATCACCCTGACTCACCAGGGACTCTGCACAGGTTTGGTTTCGGGACTACCGCTTAGCGTTCAACACCATCATCCCAGGGTTACTTGAAAGCAAACACCAAAGAGTGCACCTCAGAGGCCCCCGACTGTCAAACTCCTGAGGTTTGCGAACGACACATTGGTCAACGGCCTCATCAAGGACGGCGAAAAGTCTGCGTACAGATGGGAAGTTGACCAGCTGCGGTCAGACCCACTTGGAGCTAAATGAGCTCAAATCTGTGGAGATGACGGTGGACATCAGGAAGTCCCCCCTTCCCTTCCATAATCAAAAACACTGTCTTCAACATCCACACCATCAGGAAGAAGGCCAAGCAGAGGTTTTACATCCTGCGCCAGCTCAGGAAGTTCTGCTCGTCCTATTTTACTCCGAAATCCTCCAGTCCATTCATTGTGTTCTTCAATCGCTGTGTGGTTTGGATCGGCCACTGAATAGGACAGGAAGAGACTACAATGGGTCATCAGGAATGCACAGAGAATCAATGCCCCCAGCCTGCCCTGCACCCTGGACCTGTGCAGCTTCAGAGGCAGGAAACAGGCAGGAAAGATTACTGCAGACCCTCCACACCCTGGAAACAACTTTTCCAACTCCTCCCCTCGCTCTACGCCCAAATAACCAGACACAAAAACAGCACCAAGCCGTCTCCCTCATGAACAATTAATAAAACATACTGCACCTCCGTTTCCACTTTTCTTGTGTATATGTTAAAGTTATGTTCCTAAATTTTGTTCTCAAAAAAAAAGTATTGAAGATCTTACAAACTTTTCAGATGTAGAAAATGAAATGAGTTTTGATTGTTACAGATTGTTACTGCTAGCCCTTGGCAGGTGGTAAGTTTGGAAGGTTTAGAGAGTGAGAAGAAGGTCATGAGACGGAGACCGCGAGACACACGCTCCGCTTAGAAAAGAGAGAACAGATAAGCCGGTAGCTGGAAAGAAAAAGACAGACATTGCCACACACAATGACTCATGTGGACAACTGGAAGAATAGTTGACGAATTAGAGAGCGAAACATTCACTCGGGCTTCTCTGCGATGGCCCAGTGTAACCAGACTCTTGTAGGGCTGGACAGTGGAAGCTCCTGATGGGCAGGAATGTGCATTCTGAGAACACAGCGAGCAGATAGATGAGGGACCGAGAACGGGGAGGAATGTATCGACTGCCGTGCCGGTGGGAACAGGACGGTAGAAGAGGATCACCGCGACCTGTGCTGACACCTCTGTCATCGCACGCCCCCCTGTCCAGAGGAGGAGGAGGGGGAAAGAGGAGACGGATAAGGAGGATGCTGGTGAAGGGAGGGTGGGTCTCCTCAGCCTGACAACAGGAGGCAGGAGTGTGTCCGGACCCCAGAGAAAAAACATGTTACCCTCCGGGGAATCTATACCATGCTGTGATTGAGAAAAGGGATGGGAGCCTGCGCCAATACAAACACACAAACGAAAATGATTTCCCTTCAGAGGGTGTGACGCTGAATCCAATTACTTTAAATGAAAAACGTTTACAGACAGTGTTAAAACTGACCTTCAAAGACCTTTCTCTGGCAAAACTGTGCAGTGCAAACAAAATGAGAACAATGGTCAAATCACCGACTCGGCAGCGCTATTCAGCATCCTCCAAATTTCCAATCAGCTGTTATATCAAGCCCATGATCAATTCATTGATCAATGCCTGGGATAAGAGTTAGCAGAAACCTGGAGACAAGTTCTCCATAGTCTTTCTTCTTGTTTTCCCTCAACCACGATGAGGCAATCAGCCATAATAAGCTCTTTCTCTCCGTCTCCCCCATCATTAGTCGGCCCATGCCAGCCCTTCTGGACTGATGTGTCCGTGTCAGGACCCGCCACATTACACCGCCGCTCATGGGCTATAATTCAACTCAGCACGGGCAAGGGGTCAATTGAGAGATGAGGCCTCCTGGTCATTAGCTACTGAAAGAAAAGGCAGTGAGGTTGTGTCAGGACCGGGAAGGGTTATCATTGTTAAGCAGAGTACTGCAGCGGCGAACGAGAGCAGGAAATGGTGTTGGCATTACAATGAAATGAATGGAACAAGGAATACAAGTGTGAATTGGTTGATTACTGGAATGTCGTGAATGATGAGAGTGGGCTGAGCTCAGTCGATTGTGAATAGTTGAGTTGTTGAAGTAGCTTCCCATAGGAAAAATGTGTTGCTCATCTGTTGTTCAATCTCATCTCGCGAGCTCAATTTGAGCATCTCATGTTCATATCATTCTGTGATCATTTGTTTCTGAGTTACTTCTCCTAAGGGTCCCTTAGGAGCAAGACATAAGCTAAAAAGAGACAAGACATGAGTAAGACAAAGGAGGTTAAATTGAGAATACCATTTGAGCAATACTTGAGAAGTGGGATAGACAGTAGAGATCTCATAATTGTATACCCCTGATCTCAATTGTGTCTCGGCCATTTGAAGGAGAATAACATGAGACAAATCTGAGAATTATGAGCCTTAAAAGAGATCTTATTATTGTGTGTCCAACGTCTCTTCCATCTCTTGATTATTTCTCTTTAATGTCTTACTGAAGCTATATATGAGAATGATATCTGAGGTATATTTGAGAAATACAAGAACAAATTGAGAACGCAATTTAAAGATTAATTATCTTTATTAATTAGAAACAACTAAAAACAATACTCAATATTGAAAACTGCATTTGTGTGACACACACACACACACACACACACACAAAAGAGAGAGAGATCGCGGTCCACATAGCTTGGCCTCCTCAATTGGTTCCCAGTCCGGTAGAGTTGCACATCTGTAAGACAAGAGCATTAAAATCAGTCATGAGTAATTTGACAAAAAAATTACCACATAGACCATATACAACTGCACTTCAGGTTAAAAGGAAATAACACCGTGAGACGTTCATTTCAGTTCAGAGAATTGCAAATCAGCAAGTACGATTTTTTGGCCAATCATGAATATGAAAAAAAGTGTTATCCTTAAAAAAAACGTACTTAGGATTCAGTCAACTTTTTTACAGTCAAGGACCGGCTTTCCTTCCTTTCCTGAGGGGTTGTTTCCAGGGTGACCAAAGGGCACTGCATTTTGACACTCCTCAACAGTGAAGAAATTATCAAAAAGTGCATGAAACAGACGCATGCAATTTGGTTTTGATGCGTGATTCATGGCAGCCAGGCGGAATGATGAGATGAATTGGCCGCTCCCAGGAAACAGCTCCTGCTGGCTTGATGGTGAAGCTAGGCTGCCACCAGATCTCTCTCCAATTAAGTCGCAGAGAGTCTGAAGCTCTCTGACCCGGCCTGTATCTGAAAGGGAAGTGAGCTCGTAAAAAGATGAACGTAAACAATTCTGATCATTAAGCAAAAATAATAGCAAATCATTTTCATCAGGGCCAAGAGTCATTCACATACTATTTACTCAAATACAGTAATGGGGTCTACACACAGCTCCACTACTTCCTGAATTTAAGGCAGCTCCTTGGTTTCCTGTCTTACATTATTGGACAACTGATTAATCCACGTGTGTCTGAGTCACAATGGTCAGACACACGTGGATTAATCAGTTTGTCCAATAATGTAAGGCAGGAAATAAAAGACCAGCCTTAAGTTCAGGAAGTAGTGGAGCTGTGCATAGAGCCTATTCTATTATCATAGATTGGATAACAAAGTTATCCTAATGATGTTTTTCTTTGGTTTTGAACTTTGCCAAATCTGATCGGATAAGGATAAAAAGTGTTGAACTCATGGGCCCAGGCGATTATGTAATTATTATGACAAACCTACCCATAGGGTGGTGGTCCAGCTGTGTTGCGGCCTGTTGCATGTCCCCCGTCAGGTGATGGATTCACCGATGGAAATGAATTTCTATTTGGCCACAACAATTTAGACTGGTATTTTTAGACATTATTAATGTTATGATTATTACCCCCGTATATAACAAACTATTACGTTAATACTTACCAGATTGCTCATTTGGGGGAGGGGAGCTCAGGTCCTTCAATTTTCTGAGTGGGAACCCGTAGCCTCTTTTTTGCCAGCACTTTGTTTTTCTCCATCCGGTTAATGAAAAAAAAAACATTTTAGATCATTAACGCTAAGTATAACATCAATAGACACTATTTTAACCTAAATTCACTTCATATCTTTGAGACAATAATGGTATTAAAATGAGCAAAAATCAAATCAAATCATTTTCCTAATTGATTGTTTTAAAACCTATAAAACCACCAAGATTAAAAAAATGTAAAGATCATGAACCATGATAGCATCCCTATTCTTGGGTGAGCTTTTGCAGAAAATCTGCTCACAACATTCGGACTCGTGATACAATATTTATGAACTTGCAGATCTGAAATTTCAGAGATAAATAGCTAGTGTACAGCAAAAATAGGAGGGCAAATCCAGTCAACAAAGTCAAATTTAAATGTATTTAAAACATTTAGCTAACACAAGTTAGCTAACGTTAACTTTAGCTGTTAGCTAACGTTATCCATTAGCTAACGTTAACAATAGCAGTTAGCTAACGTTAACATTAGCCGTTAGCTAACGTTAACATTAGCCGTTAGCTAACGTTAACATTAGCCGTTAGCTAACGTTAACATTAGCCGTTAGCTAACGTTAACTTAGCAAACCATCCCATTTTCGACAGTCTGAATAAAGTTCGGAGTTTCTTTGTCAATTACTTGTTGGACAGACACCTAATTACCTAATCCCCACCTTCCATTATTATGATAATGTCAAAAGAATTTCATTCTTACCTCTTCGTGGCAGGGGCAAAAGCCAACAGGTGCAGCAGCAGTTACCGACGCACTTCTCTCACCCCAACGAAATTACGAATTGGCGCCAAGACCCGCCCTCCAATCTTCTTCTTCTTCTTCTTCTTCTATTTTTATCTGGCGGTTGATAACTTGTTGTTGTATTACCGCCACCGCTGGACTGGAGTATACCCACAGATTATATTTCCTTTATACTATTACATTCTTTTTAAAAGCCCTGTATTCTAGATAACAACATTTTTATTTGTTCAGGTCCTATCCCCTGACCAATCCGCTATCCTAACCTTAACCACTCGAGGTGAAAAGTCTAATCAATCGTGAGCCATGCAATGAGCTGCTTCGTAGGGCGGGTCTTGGCGCTACCACGTCTCCCGCGCGTGCAACGTTAATAGTAATAGTCATAACGGACTCTTTCATCACACATGAGGTAGGATTCTTGGAGTAACGTGTTACACACTCTTTTACTGCTCTATACAATAGAGCTTTGCTGTGAATTCTTTTAAAACAGCACAATTGTCAACATTTAGAAAGTTCACAAAGGTGTCTTTTGAGCAAATCATGGCTTATGTTTTGATGGGTTACGTTTTAGAACTCAAAATTCTAATTAATGAATTGTATGGCTTGTCAGAAATAAACACCTTTTGTAAGTTGAACATTATGTAAACCATCTCAAATTATTTGCCTGAATTGATATACTTCTTTTCTTAAATTTTGCGCTGAGATAAATTGAGATATGATTGAGCTATAATATTAAATAATGTCTCATATTGAGACTAATTTGAGAGCTAACACTACTCTATTTTTTCTTTTTGCTGAAACACTAGAAAGAGACAACTGTAAGAGAATCTGAGAACTCAAATAGTGAGCAGTACGAGACATATTTCTCACTGAGATATAATTGAGATCAAATTGAGACATATTTGAAAGCTGCATTGTATGTCTCATTTTTCTCTTAGTTGAGATCAGGAAAAGAGACAGCTGTGAGAGAATTTAGAGAACTTGCACTGTGCTCAATGTGAGACTTAATTCTCAGGAGAGACATTTGAGAAGAATGAGAAAACCACTTTGGTCTCAATTAGTGCTCATTTATATCTAGGAGATGTAAATGTGACATAAAGGAGATCTCATCTTCAATTTTGCTTTGCTATGGGTTAGCATGATTACTACTAAGCTATTACTTCCTTCACTTTCAATTTACTTAAAATAATCAATAACCGCTGACTTTTTCTTAAGGAGCCGTTACTTTATGCTAGCTCACTGTCAAATGGTTACATGTTGATGGTTTAGCATAACAGGTAGCCGATAATTAGCCTTACCATGTTAGCATGTGATAGTTGTTGGGGGAAAATTGTTGAGCCTGCGTGGGGTGAGGCTCTCAGGAATGTGACCCTTGATGTGAGCCGGTGACTTAAGGCAGTCCAGGGTGAGATAAGACACAGATGAAAACATGCGTGCCCTGACTGACCTTTTAGATGTTGTTGATTGTCTGGGTCCATAAAGGGAGGGTCACAGGGTCACCCCTACATCATCTGCTACTTTTCCTACATTCCTCTTGAGGGGTGGGCTGTCCTGAGGCAGCACAAACCCCCCTAAGTGTATAAAACCTCCTGTTCTCCTCTTAGACTTTGTCAGATCTTCCTGCTCCTTTTGGGGGAAGGAACATCTGTCCCTTTTCAGCTGAATTGTAGTCATTTGACTTCTGTCTGTGCTTACGACTTGTGCTGATGATTTCTGTATTCTTTATCTTTTTCCTATATTCTAGTTAGTAATAAATACTTAATCACAAAGCAAGCTCAAGATACTTTTGATTTCTCACATGGGCTAAATCCACAAATTTCCACCACAAACTTGGCGACGAGGATGGGATGGACGCGTGATCTGGACTCTGACGGACGGACAGGAGGCCATATAGTATAGGTGATTCCTCCCTGAGGGTGAGAAGCTGCCGTCCCGACGAGACCCGGATTGCCGATCCATCCAGTTCAAGAAAAAGAAACGACGAACACGCGGTGAGAGATCAAAATTATTTTAAAGGCAGACAGAGTCATTGACAAAAGGGTTTTAGGCCTATCTCACAACGAGTGTGTTGTAGACAGACGTGTCTGGGTCACCTGTAGTATTTTCTCAAGTTGCATATCCTGTGTCTCCTGAAAATTCACAGGCCAACTTTGGATAAATGCAGTAGACTGAGTGGCCAGAGAAAGCAACGGTCACTGACTTGCCTTGGTTATACGTGTGGTATTTCTCCGTTTGTGCGCACCTTTATAGGCGCGTACACTCCTTGCATACAGATACAGATAACTGGAATGGGTAGTGTTCAGAGTAAAGGGGAGATGGGTGAAAACCATGAGACTAATATCCTGCCACTATTGTGTAAATTTATGTCAGAGCGTTATCCTGGCAGTTTGAATTAAATACAAAAATGGGTTGAATTGGGGTTTCCTTCAAAGGGGAGTTTGAGTAAGAATCAATTGGAGCAGTTGGAATTGCAACTGAGGGGGAAGGAGAAGAACGATGCAGCTCAGCATGCAGGCCTGTCGAGAAGAAAGCAGAAAAAGAATGTGGTATGTAAGGCAGATTGGGAAGCTTTCAAGATGTGGAAGTATGAGTCGGAGAGAAGGGAGAGACAGAGGTTGGTAGCATTTAATTCATTAAAGACCAAATATCCTACAAAAAGTTCTGAAACGTGTACCCCTTCTAACCCAAAAACACTTTATCCTTGTTTTTATGAGTTCCTGAGGAGATTGGTGGACACGGATCTGGACTCCCCCCCTCCCCTCACTGCTCCTCCAGCTCCCGCCTTCATGAGCCCGCAGTCTCCACGGCAGGAAGCAGCACAAACAACCTTTCCTCGGCTTGACAACAGCCCACCAGGAGGGAAGCCAGATTCAACCTCCAACACCAGCCAGACGACCTTTTCACCTACTGTGACCCGCTCGCAGGCTCAACAAAGACGGGTCTTGCTCAGAGAAGGGAAAAAGACGTTGTTCGATCCTGCAGCTTCTTTTCCAGTGGAGGGGGCGCAAGGGCCGATGCTGGTTCTCAGACCCTGGTCAGATACCGATGTGACCAAGGCAATGAGCCACGTCTGCAGTCCCAAGGACAATCTTGCTAAGTGGGAGACTGATTTTCAGCAATTTGTCAGAAAATACCATCCTAGCATGTCAGAGCTGCGGCGTCTGATGTGCAGACTTCTGACACATGACTATCACAAGGTTCAGAGTGTGTTCAACACCACAAGAATGGCTGCTCGCCTTAAAGATCCTGATTGTGAGCACGGCACAGATATGGACATTAGAAGTGCTGTAGATGCTCTCATTGTGTTGGTAAAAGAACAATTTCCTCTGAGACTGAACCTCCCCACCGTCACCTCTATGACACAAGAGCCACAAGAAACATGCAGCTCATTCCTGGGACGCCTGACGACAGCTTTTGACACCCACAGTGGCCTTAAGCGACCTGATCCAATGGGGGCACAGCCCCTAATGCCATATGAAGTCCATCTGAAAGAACATTTTATAAGCAGAATGAGACCTGAACTTAAACGGATGGTGAAAAGATCATGTGTAACCTGGAAAACGTGTGCTCTTGCAGACATCCTTCAGCACGCTGAACACGCTGAAGATGAGTTACACAAGAAAAAGGACAAACTAAAAGGTTTGGAAAAGGCTCAGTATGCAATTTTTACGTGCTTGCAGTGCCAACAATTGCCCAAGGCCAACGTGGAAGAGGAAGAGGTTATGGAAGAGCTCGTGGCAGAGGCAGATCAGATCGGACTTACGGGAGTTATGATCCAAGCGTGTGTTACAATTGTGGACAACAAGGACATTGGCGAGCAGAGTGTCCTGAGCACATGAGGATGAGACACATCACACGTCTGACTGAGGAAGGCAGAGGGAGGGGCGGACCCCAGAGACGGAGCACCCCATCACGGAGGAGAAAGTAACGCACCCTACACACACTCATAAACGGAACAAATAGCTAACACAACTGCACACACACACACATCTTAGATTGCATGTCGAGTTATATTCAGAGATTCCCATAATTAACGTTGACGATTTCTTGCCATCCGGTAACACTTGTAGTTGACTCAAGAGCAATTGGCATTGTGTTTGAGCTCAACATCAGATGGCACACACAAAAAAAAAAAAAAGAGACTAAATTGCAATTATTTTAGATGTTTAACTACAGTCCAAAAACCCTCATGTATGTATAAGGATGAAAACTATTAGCATACCTTGATGCATTAATTACTCATGACCATGTAAAAATTGCGCATACACACACGGTAGAAGATTACATGCATGAACAGTCATTACATTGCACATCCCATGTAAGCACAGGGCGAGATAGAAGGTATGTGGACGTATGGCATGACCAAAAGTTGGAGCAAGAGAGATTATGGTTGAAGCATGTGTATTGGTCAGAGGAGGCTGCTGCGGTGTCTGTATCTCTCTCTCCTTCCCAAAGGAAAAAAGGTGTTCCTCGATTCTACTCCACATTTCATTGGCTAAACCATCTCACTGGGATACAGGATCTTAGGAACGCTTAGGAACATCTAGATAATTTATAACTCCCGGCAGGGTCGGCCTATCTAAAGGATGTGGCTGATATGATGATTTGCAGCCCATCAAAGGGGGCTTGTAAAATTGATAAAATTTCGCTACTTTAACATTTGGCAGAGAACGGAAATAAGGCTTGCCCTACGAAAAACTTAAATTTGCTCTAGAATAAGTGACTTATCTGGGACATGTGATCACAGCTGAGGGCAAAATCCCTCTCTCCCAAACGTATTGGGGCAATTCAATTGGTACCACAAAAAAAAAAAAAACGAATGATGAGTTTTTTGGGGATGACTTCATACTGTAGACAGTGGATCCCTATTTATTCAGAAAGAGAGGCACCTCTCTCGTTCATGGTCCACTGTAAAGGCCTCAGCGCGCATGACAAACTGACTTGGACTACTGAAGCTGAAAAGGCTTTTCAGGACTTAAAGACTTCCTTATCACAGGCCCCGACTCTGGGCCTGCTGAGACCCGACTTACCGTAGACTCAGTTCATAGACCAGAAGGACTGTTAAATGACATCAGTTTTGTGTCATCTTCATGGAGGACAACTTAGGCCTGTTGCCTACTTCTCCTCAAAACTTGACCCTGTTGCTTCGGGTCTTCCTCTGTTTGCGAGCAGTGGCAGCAGCCGAGAGAGACATTTTAGCATCATGTGACATTGTGGGCTTCTGTGATGTCCCACTCATGGTCCCACTTACTGTCTCTCATATCTTATATGCCCAGAAGACTTCTCACCTCTCTGCTCAGAGATGGTTCAGGTATCCTACAACTTAATGTAATTGTCAAACGATTCAATGTCCTTAACCCATCTACACTTCTTCCAACTGCAGATGACAGAGAGCTTCATGACTGTGTCGAAGTCTTGCAGCAGACATGCATACCAAGGCCTGATCTGTTGGACACACCTCTTCCCAATGCAGATCTTGAGCTGTTTGTAGACGGCTCCGCTTCTCGCTCACCAGACACGGGCAGCGGTCAGGTTGGGTTTTCAGTGGTTACATCACACAGCACACTTGTTAGTGGCAGGCTTCCTTCACACTTCTCAGCACAGGCGGTAGAGTTGATTGCACTTGCCGAGGCATGTAAAGCAGCTGAAGGTAAAACAGTTAACATCTTCGCTGATTCACGTTATTCTTCTGGTGCGGAGCTCTTTAGAGACACAGGGGGTTCCTTACGTCATCTGGCAAGCCTATTGCACATCATACCCTTGTGTCTGCTTTTCTGGATGCCATTTTACTACCCAGAGCCATTGCAGTCATTAAACGTGGAGCTCACACCTCTTCTCTTGACCCTGTATCTGTAGGAAACAGGGGCGCGGATGCGGCTGCGAAGAAGGCAGCCTCGCAGGGCTTCCTTTTCCCCCTGGCTCACATGCTTTCCACACCGACCGATCCTAGTCCTTATGCCGATCTTTCAACACTTCGGCCTCTTGCCGGTGCACAGGAGCGTTCCCTGTGGCAACGATCTGGTGCCATTCTTGAGGGCGGAATCTGGACAGGGCCGGACAGTAGGCCCTGTTTGCCACGTGCTCTCTTCTACATTTATGCTAAGTTGTCTCACGGAAAAGATCACGTGGGCAA